CATTCCGATCACGGGGTCTCGATGAGTCCCGTATCGTTATTTTTCGTCACTACCTCCCCGAGCCGGGAGTGGGTAATTTGCGTGCCTGCTGCCTTCCTTAGATGTGGTAGCCGTCTCTCAGGCTCCCTCTCCGGAATCGAACCCTGATTCCCCGTCACCCGTGGCGACCACGGTAGGCGCATGACCTACCGTCGACAGTTGATAGGGCAGACACTTGAAAGATGCGTCGCCGGGACGGGCCCGTGCGATCTGCCAAAGTTACTCAGCTTCGGTTCACGTTTCCGATCCCCACCCCGAGAGGAGGGGCCGGTCACAATCTAATAAGCGCTCGTCCCCGGAGGGTCGGAGCTCGGCTGCATGTATTAGCTCTAGAATTGCCACAGTTATCCAGTAGCGTCACGATCCAATGAACCGTGACTGATTTAATGAGCCATTTGCGGTTTCGTCGCCGTCGGAGCGGCAAGTACTGGACATGCATGGCTTAATCTTTGAGACAAGCATATGCTACTGGCAGGATCAACCAGGTATCCTTCCATTTCCTTTCGTCGAACGGCGAGCGGAACAGTCCGCACGCCGCCGGCCTTACACTTCGGTTCACCATCCACTTTACGACGTGCGCAAGGGAACGCAGTCTGAAGCGTTCGCTTCCGTAGATTTCGAAAGAGCCGTCGGCCATCGTGAGGATCAGGCCGGCTCCGTGGCAGAGCAAATGCGAGACTCGCCGAAGCCTCCGGAGAGGCCGGGCGAGCCGAGCAGAGAGACAGGTTGTGTCCCGCCGAAGCGGGAGATACACGGTCCCGGCGAACCCAGCACGGGACCAATCAGAGACGGGTCACCCCATCGGAAGCAACCGCCGGTCCGCAGAGCTCGACGAAACTAGGACGACGGCGCCTCCCGCCCGACAACATGGACACGTTGCAGGCTTCGCACGCGACGTCGTCGTCGTTCCGCCTCGCTCCGCAGTCGACGGCAGTCGCCTCGACGAGAGGCAACACCGCAGTCCGGGACGATCTACTTGAATGCAGTTCCGCGACGATCCACTTCTCCGCGACCATCTGATGGAATTCACCGCGACGACACACTCTTCCGTCAATCTCCTACGGTCCTCTTCCGTCAATCCCCTACGGTCCTCTTCCGTCAGGTCCCCTTCCTTCCGTCTAGGCCGGGGCAGGTCCTCTTCCGTCCACTGACAGGCTTCTCCTCGGGGATCCGTCCAACGCGTTCCTCCGCCGGACCCTAACCTACGACGCGGCTGGCCAGAGAGAAAATCCTTCGGCAGCCTCCTGGGAGGCACCATTCTAGAGGCTGGTCACCCCATCGGAAGCAACCGCCGGCCCGCAGAGCTCCACCGTATTCCGACGACGGCACCTCCCGCCCGACAACATGGACACGTTGCAGGCTTCGCACGCGACGTCGTCGTCGTTCCGGTCCGCTCCGCAGTCGACGGCAGTCGCCTCGACGAGAGGCAACATCGTGGTCCCGCCGAAGCGGGAGATACACGGTCCCGGCGAACCCAGCACGGGACAATCAGAGACGGGTCACCCATCGGAAGCCGCAACCGCCGAAGCGGGAGGCATCACCACCCGGTCCCGCGCTCGACCACCCAGCACGGGACGATATAAAACACATCACGGCTATCAGAGCACGGACAACCACATGCCCCCACCGAAGCAACCCGCACGCCACGATCCGACGCGAATACCTGCCGTCAGGCTCGCGACGTCGTTACGTTGTCAGCAGTCGACTCCGGAGGCGCCGCGGACGATATAAATACGATCATCCGGCTATCAGAGCACGGGACAATCACACATGCCCCTTCCGAAGCGACCGCATCGCTCACCGAATTCCGACGCGAATAAAACCTGCCCCGTTCCAGGCTTCGCTCGCGACGTCGTTACGGTTCGCTCAGCAGTCGACCTCCTCGGAGGCGGCCCGGCCGACAAAGCACGGCACGGACTACTCGGCCCCTGCCCGAGGGGGGTGACGTAGGCAGATCCGCAGAGCTCGCCGAATCCAGACGTCACCTCGCAACCTGGGCACGTTGAGAGGTTTCGCACGCGATCCGGTTCGTTCATTGGAAACCAGTCCACCACATCAGGAGACTCAGATCCAACCCACTCGAGTGGTGTTTCGATCATGACTCTCAGACCTGATACCTCAGACAGGTCCTCCCATATAGGGTATCGACCTGTCCAGATATCTTGGAAACGATTTCGATCTGCGGTCCTCCGCGGCACCGGGCGTCCGGGGGAGGAGGGGAGGGGAGAGAATCCTGCCCCACTTCTTTACCTCGAAATCGTGGGAACACCGGAATCCGAGTACGGAAAACGTCGCGCCCCGAAGGGCTCCGGGCGACGACAGCACCACCGCCCGACCTCGGCGGCGGGGTGTCGTGACCGCGATTCCGCCGGGGCACCACTCTTCCGGTTCCTTCGCAGGTACGGAGAGAGCTGTGCGTCGTCGGAACGAAGAGACCGCGAACCCGCCGCCTGGACCGGACCGGCGAGTGGTCGTGACCCCGGCTCCGCCGGAGCACCACCTCTCCCGTTACGACGCAACACCACTCTCCAGAGGCACGGAGAGAGTGGTGCGTCGTCGGAACGAAGAGACCGCGAACCCGCCGCCTGGACCGGACCGGCGAGTGGTCGTGACCCCGGCTCCGCCGGAGCACCACCTCTCCCGTTACGACGCAACACCACTCTCCAGAGGCACGGAGAGAGTGGTGCGTCGTCGGAACGAAGAGACCGCGAACCCGCCGCCTGGACCGGACCGGCGAGTGGTCGTGACCCCGGCTCCGCCGGAGCACCACCTCTCCCGTTACGACGCAACACCACTCTCCAGAGGCACGGAGAGAGTGGTGCGTCGTCGGAACGAAGAGACCGCGAACCCGCCGTTGCAAAATCAACGGCGAGCTGTCGTGACTCCGACTCCGCCGGAGCACGACGCGTTCCGTTTCGCTCCGAGGCACCGGCCCGAGGGGTGCCCCGGCGGAACGCAGGGACCGCGAGCACGCCGCCGGGTCCCGGGAGGGCCACCTCGCGTTATACCAAAACGCGAGAAGGAAGCTCGAGAGCGCTCATCCGAGGACCGTCGACATCATTCGTGCACTCGCACCCCGCCCCGAGAGCGAGAGGAGAGCTCCTGTCGAACCTCGGAAGTGCAGCTCGATCGAGCACACACCTCCCCCTATATAGGGCAACTGGCGTGCCAGCTATCTTGGAAACGTTCTTCGTCTCCGGTGCGCTGCGGCATGATGCTTGCCGACGGGGAGGGGAGGGGACAGAATCTCGTGCAGTTTCTTAGGCAAAATGTGGGACCAAAAATTCATTTTTGAGAAAAAATGGAAATTTCCAAAGAACTCTCGACAGACCTCGCGCTACTTCGTTTTCGGACCACTCGCCGAATTTCGGGGTCCTGGGACCCTTTTTCGGGGAGTTGATTTCGGGGGTCCCGAAACTTCAAAAATTCGTAACTCGGGAACCGAAGGGAATTTCCGCTCGAAACCGGTACCGCGGAAGGGGACCGGGGATCTCCTTCCCCCGTTTCGATCTCGGAGCCCTGCCTCCAAGGGGGTCCCCTGGGGGTCCCTTCCGAAAAACGTTTTTTTTCTGCCCTTTTCGCCCCTAAATCCTAAACCGGAGCCTCCGAGGACTTCTTTCTGGTACGGATCGAAAGGCCAGGTCGCGGGCTCCCGAAAAAATTTTTTTTAAAAAATTGGCTCCTGCGGGGGCCCCGTGGGGGGGACCCTAGCTGTACCTTGCGCGGCTTCCCGAGGCCCCCCCCGATCGTCGTGGAGTCTCGAAAAAAATTGTGCCGGTGCGTCGCGACGAGGCGCGCCTCGTATCGGAGTCTCGTAATTTTGGAACCAACGGGGGCCCCTGCAGACGCCGGGCCCCGAGACGACACGACGCCCTTTCCGGAAGGAGAACCCGCCGTTCGATTTCGATCGGGAAGATGTCGATAGACGCGTCTCGACGGGTTCTACCTCGGTACCCAATTCGGAGGCGATCGGACACCTTGCAGGGGCTCCCGGGCCCGAAAAAAAAAATTTTGAGGGCCCCGGAAGGGAACGCAAAAAGAAGTTACGGTCCGATTTCGTCGATCGACCCGTCCAAATGTGCGTATTCGAGAGCTCTTTCGTTTAAAATTAAGTTTGAGTCGCTAGCCCTCTCCGTTCGCGAGTTATTCGAAAACGTTGCGTTTCGATTTTGGACTTAGAAAAAATTCGCGAAATTTGGATATCTCGGAATAAAAAAAAAAGTTTCCAATGTATTTCGACAAAACGCACCTCAGTCGATACGTGACGACGAGGTCTATCTTTTAATAACTCATTTACGAAATTTGACCCTTTTTTCCGGGAGTTATTCGAAAACGTTGCGTTTCGAACCCGGGACTTTGAAATTTTCGCGACATTTCGAAACACCTCCTCCGCCCGTAAAACGCGAACCGAACGAGTCACGAGCTCTAATCTTCGCAGGCGGGTAGGTCCCGTCGAGAGGAACCCGAAAACACGAGATTCGGGATCCTGGCCCCGAATCCGGGCCCGCTACGAGGTGGGCCCCGAAAACGCTCCCGGGCCCCCAGATCGCGAACGGGCGTCCCGGGACGCACGAGAAATTTATCTCGGGTAGGACTCGACGCCGCCCGCTTCCCCAGCGATTTTCGGAGCCCTGCCCGCAACGGGGGGCCCCGTGGAAAAAGGGGCCCGAGGTCGCCTTCGGGAGGCCGGGGACCCGAAAGTGGACGGAATTTCGGAATTCCGATTTCGGATTCGAGCTCGTCTCGCCGAGACGGACCGGAATCTGGATTTCCGGGAAGATCCCGCGAGCGGTTCCGAAATGAAGAGCGGGAGAAGGTGTTTTTTTTTTATTTTCCGGGACCGGAAACCGCGGTTTTTCCGCCCTGTCCGGAGAACCGTTCCGAATGGGGAAGAGAGGACGACGTGCCGGGACAGCCCCGGAGGTGCCGCGTCGGAAGAGCTCCTTTCCGGTTCCGGGAGTCGACCGCAGCGCCCCCTGCGTCCGTTTTTCCCGTTTTTTTCCCATTTTTCCCGGAGGGCGAACCCGCGGGATTTCCGTTTTTTCGACCCCGGGGTCGAGCGGGGGACCGCCCGAGGAGCCCTCCGAAAAAAACTCGGGGTCCCGGCGGGTCTTTTTCGGCGTTTCGGAGAGTTCGGAAATCGAAAGAAAAAAAAATTTTCGAATTTCTCCGGAACGGTCCGAAAAAAAAAATATTCGATCTAAAATTAAGAAAAAAACATGTTTCTCCTCGCCTCGCCGAGATCTTCCAGAATCTGCAAAGTTTTTTGACTTGAGACTCGTAGTTAAAAAGTTGTGTCCTCGGAAAGGGTCATTTTCCTCAGGAAAATTCGAAAAAATTCATTTTTTTCAAAAATTAATAAAAAAAAAAGTTTTATAGATAGAAGAAAACTCAACATATATTTTTTTCTCGCCTCGAACAGCCCTTTCAGAATCTGTAAAGTTTTTGTTCGTGGGTCTAATAACAAAAAAGTTGCGTCCTCGGAAA